AACAAAGGTGGACTCCAGGCACATTTTCGGTAGGACAAAAAAAGAGCATTTTATTTAACATGTTAAGCCATACCTAGGCTTGGGAATCCAAAATCGATTCCAATTCTGGAATAGGATGCTTAAGGTCAGGAATCGTCTACTTGTTACAAAATTAAAATTTCGATTCCTCTTATCGATTCCTTTGTGCGCATTTTAATATGACTTTAAACTATTCAAGCACAAAAAGACTCGTGCACTGTTTTCTGTCCTGCAAACACTTTTCAAACAAAGTATTTCATAAATTTAAACTACATTAGATGTACTGCTCAAATGTAAGATAAAATAGTCAATATTATATTTATCAGTCATTTTGTTATTATTTAGCTACTATAATTTAACCCTAATCTCTTCATAAAACATTCATGCATGTTCAACAAGATGTTTTCTCATCTCTGGATTACTTTTGCATTTGTCAAGAGTTTGATGTGACACATGCTGCTTAAACAGAAATGAAGCATTAAACTAGATAAATGGATACTTAATTGAACCCCCAGGCAGCAAATTAACATGCTACTTTTTTAATGAAATGATATTCATTCTCATTATTTGTTTTGCCTGTGGTGTCATTCTTATTAGTCAGTACATATTTAAAAGTGTAACATTAAGTTTTATTTGACTGACATATCACACCTCCAACTTTTCTCTCAGTTGAGTTTCCCATTTTGAATAATGTGGCGTGTTCTCATGTAAACTATGGGCACTAAATACAACTTTCCAACTGAGAAAACAAAGCCAAAATAAAGCATTTATTTAGAACAAAGATGCTGCCCTGACATCCTCTGATTATGAAATTGGGGGTTGATCTAACAGCATTTACATTTTGTTTTGTTTGCTGCTCTACACCGCTGAACACTCCATCACTTCATGACAGCTAAATTTAGGGTTGTACTGCTGGCTATCAGTAGTGGTGGAAAGAGTACTAAGAAATTGTACTTAAGTAAAAGTATTGCTACTTAAGGAATAATTTACTTGAGTACAAGTAAAAGTGCTGAAAAATGATATGACTCAAGTAAGAGTAAAAAAGTAATTTGCTGAAAAGCTACTCAAGTTACTGCGTTACAAAGTACTTTAGTATTATTTTTCTATTTTTACTCAAAATGAGACGAGTTGAGCATTATGGAGCAGGGTTAACTCTAACCCTAACATTCATGTACTGTTAATGTCTGTTTCACAAGTGAGACCCAGGAAATCTCTTATGTACAAATGCATCAGATATCACTACAGCTGAATAACATGCAGATAGAGACGCTTTGACTGATGAAACGTGGAAGACAATAAACACACAATTGCAATGCAATGCTAATTGACATAGCTTGTATCACGGTATAGAATTTTATAACAAATATTTTCTGTCTCACTGTGATAAGAAGCTAACTGTTTTAAACACGACTGATGTTATAAAGTCATTTTGGAGCAAAACATGATATTAGTCTTATAAATTGTCATGTTTGACGCTATGTTAACCAAACATACTATCTATCCCTGTTGCCAGGAGCAACTGTTTTAAGCTAGTTATGTAAATAAGATTATGTGGTTGTTTTTAAGAAGGGCAAAAGCAAAGAAGGGTAAGTGAGGGTTTAAAAGAAAAGGGTCTAAAACAGTGTGAATAGAAAGGTGACAGTAAAAAATAATGTGGGGTGTGGGTAAGGTTGGGAATTGTTTGAATTTTAATGATTCTGATTCTTGTCAATTCCTAATTTCAATTACAATAAGGTAAAAAATAAGTAAAAATAAATCTTAGATATCCTCTTATTACAAAATATTTCATAGGTAGCTGAATACTATGAATGAAAATCAACAGGCTAAAGAACACTTACACAAGGATGTGTGTCCAGCAGAGAAAACAGCCCGCGAGTCGTCTTGACTTGAATGGTTTAAAATCACATTGAAAGTGTAGTTTGTTATAATAACAAAGGTGGACTCCAGGCACATTTTCGGTAGGACAAAAAAAGAGCATTTTATTTAACATGTTAAGCCATACCTAGGCTTGGGAATCCAAAATCGATTCCAATTCTGGAATAGGATGCTTAAGGTCAGGAATCGTCTACTTGTTACAAAATTAAAATTTCGATTCCTCTTATCGATTCCTTTGTGCGCATTTTAATATGACTTTAAACTATTCAAGCACAAAAAGACTCGTGCACTGTTTTCTGTCCTGCAAACATAGGGGCGTAGCCATCATTTCAGAAATGAGGGGGACATATTTTTTTCTTATGTCTTTTAATTGGCTAAGAAATCATATACACTGCTGGGCGATAACCAATCATTTGTATTCTATAATATTTTTTTCTCTATTTTCCTAATGACAATTTTTTGGATTGGTTTATACAAATACATAATAAGGCAGAATAGTTTCTATACTGTAATAAATGTTATATCAGTTAGCACTGCATTATTCATATACTATTTATTATCGGGAAATTACCTGAAATTACCTTTTTTTTAAGCTATACAGCGATAGCGGGATGTCTTTGTCCTCATTAGGGATTTCCTGCACATCATAAATTATTATATATTACTTCTACTAGGCCATTTTAGACTTTCTGCACGAGAGCGCCCTCCGGTTTCGAGTATGAATGAGACATGCACTATATCCTCCTGAGAACCAGAAATATAAAGCTTTGTGAATTTAGTATTTTTTCATGCCATTACATTGTTTAGAGCATAAGAAAAAAATTGTAAAATAACATTTTTGAAAAATTATATTTTATTCATAAGTTATGCCATGTCCTCTGTAGAGGACACCAGGACTCAGATTTTCTAAAAATAAAACGACAAGAGTAGACATGAAAAGACAAAAACAATGGGAATTTTTTTTAAATCACCAATCAATTGTTAGGTTTCAGGATTTTTTTTAATAACTAACTTTGTTTGAGGATGGTTCTCAACTATGTTATAAAATATATAACAAAATGATTTTGGGAAGTGGTGGGCTAATGGTTAGAGTGTCGGACTCGTAACCCAAAGGTTGCGGGGTTTGAGTCTCGTAGCGGCAGGGATTGTAGGTGGGGGGAGTGAATATACAGCGCTCTCTTCCACCTTCAATACCACGACTGAGATGCCCTTGAGCAAGTCACCGAACACCCAACTGCTCCCCGGGCGCCGCAGCATAAATGGCTGCCCACTGCTCCGGGTGTGTGTTCACGGTGTGTGTGTGTGTGTGTGTTCACTGCTGTGTGTGTGCACTTTGGATGGGATAAATGCAGAGCACTAATTCCGAGTATGGGTCACCATACTTGGCCACATGTCACGTCACATATTATTTGATATACCATTTTGCTTCATGCAATGTGTGTGTAAAAAGTCCATAAACTGGTTTTCCCGTTAAGCACAATGTTATCTATACACTATCTAATTTGCATATTAAAGTGCTGTTGGGACAGCATGTTGAAAAAAGAAGTGTAATAATGGGAGTAGTAATTGGCCAGATTTTCATAATATCATCTAATATTTCATAAGAATATCGATATGTAATTTGTTTTCCTATTCAATTCTTTTGTCTCCCAAAATGTATAATAAACATGCTTTTAGTCCTGGTGTCCGCTACAGTGGACATGTATGAAATGATGTCCTGTTTCATAACAAGAAGTTATATTTTGATTTGAAACCCCATAACATTTTCCTGAGATGTTGATTTATGACAAACGATTTGAAAATTAATCAGATTTAAATTATAATTACAAAATATTATCATATTTCCATAAGGATGTACAATTTTATCACTAAATTAATGTCAGCCATTTTTAAAAACCAAGGAGAGGGAGTGGTCATGGCGAAACCTCCAATCATTTGGTATCTCTGGAAAGCCCTGAATGTGCTCTGTACAGGACATCCAGACATACAACTGTGACATGTGAGGTCTCAGAGAAATTCACTCAAATATAATGTCCACTACAGAGGCAAAAACTCCATAGCTGGGTCTCAGGAGGATATGTTCACATCGTCTCGTTTTGGACATGTAAAAATTGTTCAGTCATACCTAGCCTATCTAGTTTCTTTGCCCATCTGCACACACATCCAAAGCATGCACACAGAAAAAGTTATTTAAAATGCATCTGATTAATTTAACAGATAAATCATGGTTGATCTATATCAGCCAGATGCATGTAAAAATACATGCGCTCTTATTTCAATGTTGTTGTTAATGTTGAGGTTATTTAGGCTTTGTACATTTAGTTTAACTGCACTGTTAAAGAGGGCGATTTTTACCATTCAACGGAACTGTGTGCATGTATTTTAGACACTTACATTGTTCTTGCTCCATCCATGCAATAGTTCTATCAACCAAGTTTTCTATTTACTTATACTGCTGTGTGCTCTGGTAATATCAACGGTATGACCCATTTCAGGAGTTGACAAAATTACGATTTAAAATCAGAGCATAGCTCACATTCACGAAAATATTGAAACGCTATGCTGATTCAAAACGACAACACCGGTGATAGACAGTCAAATCAAAGCGCGGTTTGAACACCCTGCCCCCCAGCTGAACTGGAAGTTTTATTTGTTTTTAGCACCCGAGTCAGACCTGTCTGTTATTGGCTGAAGCGCAGGGCTCCACCCCAGAAGTTTGAAAAGTGCCCATCAGATGCCAGCTCGCTCGTTTTCTCCATCGGCGTCTCCTTTGTCTACTTTCCACCTCGAGCTATCAGATTGAGTCATACAGATACAAAAAAAGTTCTTCATTTAGAAAAATCAGTAGGCACAATACCACATACATTTTTAACACATGGGTCAAACCCCCTGGGCGCTTCATTTTTCCCCTCTATATTTTCACATGCTGTTTTTCTTTTACATCATGCTTTTTGTGTTGTCTTTTTTCAAACTTATGTCTGCAAATAGCTATAATTTGTGTCAATGTTGTTTTTCTACTCTTTCTTCCACCTATTCTGTCTTGCATGCCCACATCTCTCTCTGCATGGCTTGGCTGCATGCTGTAAATTGTTCTTGATGGAGTGTAGCTTCCTGTACCCAGATACAAAAAGGTAAGTTCATATTTATTCACTACTTTCCCACTTCCTAAACAAATTCCTTGTCTCTCCCATCGAAACTCCACTGATTCACTCCAGTAACACTGAAAAAAACTTACTAGCTTTAATGTACTCTCTGAAATGTTAAAGAAAAGACTACTGTATTAAAACCATTATTACATCCTTATGTTATATGGGCTTTTTTTGTTTTTTGTATTATTTTTTGCATGACAGGATCATACAAATCTCTCAACTGGTTACTTTTTCTTTTAGATATATATATATATATATATTTATATATATATATATATATACAAGTATATTTTTCAGTAGAAATACTGGGATTAAAATATTACAAGTATTCCTAAATTCTAACCATTTATATGCAACTGTAGTATTTTTTGTAACTAAAGACTAGATCTTACAGTCTCCTTCATACATGTTCCCTTTGTGGCATACCTCTATCTGTCCTGTGAAATATAAGACTTCCTATGACACAGCTGGCATCATTTTGTACTTTACTGTTGGCATCTTTTCTTTTTGTTGGCTCACTCATTGACGAGACAGATTAGCTTCAATTAAGATAAAGTGCTTACCCATGGGCAGATGTAAGCATAATGTTTAATAATGGCCTTTTATTAAGTATTTATGATGAATGGATACATTTATCTCATGCTAGTTCATTTCTGTTACCATGTAATGGTACATTTCTGTCTTGAATGGCAATTTTTCACTCTGAAGACCATGCATAGTAAGAGACTGCAGAGCCTGTATCTCTCTCATTTGTTCTCATGTGGGTGGGTGGGTGTTTATGTTCATATGGTCTTCAGTACAGCATGGATCCCAGAGTTGTCTGTGGCCATGTCTCGCCCCCATACATACATTCATGACTTAAGAATGAGATGAAACCATTGGCCACTTTCACATCCATGTGGGTATTAATTTACATGGAGCATAACAGCAGCCTGTAGACAGCTATAAATCAGGTAGAAAGAGAGTAAAAGAGCTGTCATGCGGTTTAACATAAGCTAACCCTCACAGCTATTCAACAACCTTGTTCAGGAACTCGGGTGCTTTTTTTAGATCAGTATTCAGTCTTTCACTGGCTTGTTCAGACTATTTGTACAGACATCTACAGTTTGATGGTCTCTGATTCATGATCTGAAAAATTTCTAACAGGTACTGGACCAAGCAAATCTCGGCAAGCACAATGCTAAGGACAGGTGGGTAGTTATCAGTAGAGATAATATATTGGACTGATAATGGATTTGTATATATATTTTTATTCATATTCAGGCTTTTTAACTTTTACAACTGATCAAAAAATACAGGAAAAAAAGTACAATTTAAGTAAGTTTTTTTTTTTTTTTATATTATGAGATGTTACTCTAGCATTTATTCTCTCACTTCCTCCCACCCTGTGTTTTTCAAGCCCACCTCCAACCTGTACTAATGTTTATCGGTAATGCTTTATGGCTATGTACTGTGTGGCTCAATGGCGTTTGGAGCATGTACAGCTCTCACCCATTGAGAGTCATCTGTGCTGGAACCTCCATCTGCTCTTGTGAAACACACTTGATTTCGACCAGCCCTTTTCTTTTACAGAATCTCGCCCCTTTCATTTTTAAGTGCAGACCATCTCCAACAGGATGTTTATCCAGAAGAATTAAGAGATATAATTTAGCAGATGAAACAGATCTGACTAGTTATCCGTTGATGGGGAGATGGGAAGGGAAATGCCGTACTTGGCAGCGTGGCAGCAGTAAGTATAGCGCTATGAATGATTGGGTGCGCACACAGCTTTCACACGCACTTGCTGATCCATGCCGCCCATCTCCTTTCACACTGGTCATTTCTCCTGCTTCTCCGTAATTATGATCAACCATCCATTCACCGGCAACACTGCAGTCGGACGCCCATTAACACATTTACTGTTAGCTGTGTTCTCAGGAGACCACTGCTTCTCGGTTTTACGCTTATCCGGAATAGTCAAGGTCAGCTGGGACATTACAAATGCACGTTAAGGTTACGCCCACTCGCCCTCCTCCAATCAGCTTGCAGTTACCAGACAGACCTTTGATGAGGAGTTTGGTTCCTCTGTATTTAACACATCCTTCAATATCCAACGAGAATGGGGTGCTTCAGCATTGCACCATATTAAATCACACAGCAGCTGTTTTTCTTTATCGATCTGCTTGGAGCAGTAGGAACACAGTTTACCAGTCACCATATGTCACGCAGCCCTGAAACGCAAGACAAATTCTGAATTACACCGAGTGCCTGGCTCAACACTGAGCAAAGATAACTCAGTTGTTATTAGCAAAAAAGCATATATACACCCCCAGTGTTTAGCAGGTTTAGCTGTATTGGAATTGGATTTATGGCAATGGGGAGATGAGAAATCACATACGTATGTTGAAAGCAATGTTCAGTTTTGTGCTTGCCCTTATTTTTGTGAATGGTTGCGTCAGTGCTCTTCTATAGTGAAGTGGACCTCAGAGGCTGTTTCAACTTGCAGCACCTTCAAAGAGAACGACCATCTGCAGTCTCTGCACGCACACACAAACATGCTCACAAACACAATCACATAGAGCCGAGTGGACCTGTGGATTTTTGAAAACTGCTTTGTAGCTCTGATGAGACCGGTGTGCACCGGTCATCCTGTTATGGGCCAACAGCAGGAGCAAATAACTTGAAGAGCAGATTGAAAGAGAAAGATGAGAAGGATGTCTACATTTTTGACAAGCCTTTGTCAAAGCTGAAGTGTGGCATTTTTTCATTGATAAAAACACTTTCTCTTTGACCAGTTTTACGGTTGACTTCCCAGTCAGTGTAAACCCAGGCTGTGTCTGAATTCCTGTACTTTTTTTAGTATGTTCTAATAGTGGGAAATATGGCACAAATATTATATCCGGGGGTTTTTTTCAGGAAATTCACAAATTTATCACAATTCTTTTTCATGTTGGTTTTACTATTTTGCAAGTTGTCTGAGCAGTACAGCCAAACTAATTTCCCTATTTTAAAAACAATATGAAATAACAAAATATAAAAAACGAATGGCAGACATTTAGGCCAAAGTGGGTGAAGATTAAAAAAAATCTTTGTTATTTAAAAAATAAAGAGAAATATACAAATTACAAATACACATAATATACAAATAAAACAAATAATGCTTTATTTTTCAGGTACAGGAGGTGTATTTAACAGTAGCAAATTTAACAAATATGAAAATCAAACAATTCACAAATATATAAACTTCACTGTATAAATTACACAACGATTCTTATTAAAGTAACTATATTAAAGTTCTTCAATCAAGAGCAGTGAGTGATTTTTCTCTGTGTTTTGTTGCTTAATTAACATTAAAGGGATTGTTCACCCAAAAATTTTTACTCACTCTCAAGTTGTTTTAAACCTCAATGAGTTTCTTTCTTCTGTTGAACATAAAATATTTTTTTTGAAGAATGTGGATAATTCAATTCAATTCAATTCAAGTTTATTTGTACAGCGCTTTTCACGATACAAATCATTGCAAAGCAACTTTACAGCAAGTTAAGTTTCTACAATATTTAGTCGTAGCTTATCAGTGGTGACTGTCAGTCAATGTATATATGGCAGAAATGTATGGAAAAATCAATTAAAGACGTAATCAAATAGACGATGAACACTATTAACAGCAATTATTATATGATGCAATCAAACTTATAGCAAAATGTGGTAGTTCTGTATGTTGTTTCAGGGTTGGCATCATCTGAGGTCCTCTGAGGATAACCATACAGTTGCTGGTCCCCAGAAATATCTTATTTTGTGTTCAGCACAAGAAAGAAATTAATACAGATTTGGGACAACATATGAGTGAATAAATAATGACATAATTTTAATTTTTGGTGAACTCTCCCTTTAATGACAATCGGCAGCATGTTTAGTACAATTAGTGTGTTGTCCCTTTAACACCTGCACGCATCTAATATCAAAGCCTAATATACAGGCACACACATCCGTTTTTCTCTCAACTGTTTACTTTCACTTTAGACATAAGTTGTGTTTATATGTACACCTTGTGTGTTTTTGACAGTATTAGCACAATCAGATGCGAAAGATTGCTTAGTCCAGTAATAGGGCCCTGTTTGACATGCTTTTTTATTGTGAGTGCTCAGAAAAAGCGCACATCAGAAAAGCACGCAAATTAAATGTTTAACCGGCAAGGTTGTAAAGCACATGCAAATAATGTATTCTTGTGATTGTGAATAAGTGCAGTGTCCCGTGAGTGTAACTCTAGCGCTGAGTTAACATTTGATGTGAATGTATGTCACGCTGTACAGTTTATTGAGACTGAGGTGCCAGAACTGCAACTGAGAATGTGCACTGTAGCACGATTTTTTCAAAAGCAGATCGTGTAGACATTTTAATCGCCCACGATTAAAAATCATAATATCGCACACCCCTAGTATGTACTGAATTGTATAAACACCATACCTCTTACACACTGATGAAGTGCGTTCTGTAAGAATACATTTCTGGACATTTTACACTGTAAGAAAAAAAAGTACAAAAAACTGTACCTTCAGGGATGCAACAGTTGTCATTGGGACAACTATGTGCCTGTATAACCTCAAAGGAGAATATTAGTTCCTTAGAGTAGTAATGCGTACCCTTAAGGTACTACCACAAACTGTTTTGAAGTAAATAAGGTACTGCCCCAAAGCAAGCTATTGTACCCTTTTAGGGACAGTTTTTGCTGAGAGTGTACAATTGCCTTGTTGACATTGTCCTTACCAGCTCACCATTTTCGGTTCCCAGGACATTCTCAAATTGAACGTATATTAGGTTTATTTTTTTTATTTTTTTTAGGTGAACCAAGAAATGACTCATTGATTGTTTCTGTAATGTTCTTGAAAGGGTTAGTTTATCAGTATAGAAAACAAAAACCTAAAAACAAACATTATTTAACATTCTTTTTACATTTTTATTAGGTTGTCATACTCCCCAAAAAAAAGCTGTCACTGGGGTGGTAC